AGAGAGGCTAAGCAATTGCCCACAGTCATACGGAGGGTGGCAGAGCTGGAATTTGAACCCTTTTTCTACCTTATCAAGCTGCCTCCCTAGAAAATCAGAAATAGGGAATCCTTATCAGCGGCAGCCTCAGACATAATGTAAATGGCAATAAATGCCCTCCAACCAGCTTTCCGGGGCAGTCTTCTGGCTCTGGGGTGCTAAGGCACCAGCACACACCTGCTCAAAGGGCTTCCCAGGGTGTGATGGGAGGAGGCAGGGGACACTCCAGCTGGCTCACCCAACAGCCCTTTTTGGAGCCCTCCATTCAGGCCAGCAGCCCAGCCCCTTCCGGCCCATGATCAGAAATAGCTGTGACAAAAGTCCCTCCCATCCCTGAAAGTGGCTTTTTAAAAAATGCTTAAAGGCAGACGCACAAGAAGATGGCGAGAACTCTGGCAAGCCCCAGCCCAAGGCAGATGATGTGGGTAACACCTCAGAGCAGTGAGGAAAGCTCTTAATGACAGGAGGCAGGCCTGCCCAGCTCAGCTTTGTGGGTCAGCTCCCTCTGGGCCTCAGTTTCCCCATCTCCAAAGTGAAAGTACTCAGCTGAATCAGCAGTTTCTTTCTTTTTTCTAAACTGCAGAACCCGGTTTTCCAATTGACCCTTCCTCAAAATACCAATCTGAGAATCATAGAAATGGAGCTGCTGTGGTTGATAGGGGTCAAATCCCAGGCACTCAGCCCCTCACTATCCCCAGAATCACCCCAAGGTACCTCACTCTGGACCCCAGGGCTCCAAAGGGCCCACTTGAAAACCACCCCACTGTGGTCCCTCCTGGCTCTCAAAGGAAGCTCCAGTCACCCCAGGTACCAAAGAAAACAAACCAAGCCCTTCTACAGACTTGAGTCAGGGGCACAGACATCCAGCAACTTGCAGGGGCTGGGAAGGAAACCAGCCAGTTTCAAACCACACTGGGTCTGGGGCAGGGGAGGTACAGACTGCCGTCTCAGAGGCAGAAAGAGCAGCCCTGACACAGGCTCCTTGGTGGGAGGGATTGCCTTGTGTAAAGGTGGAGGACCTAAGGCTCAGAGAAGGCAGCAATTGGCCTGAAGTCACATAGCACCTAGCAGCAGAGCCAGACCTGGAGTCCAGGTCTCCTGGATGCTGATTCAGAGAACTCCCCTCTTGTTTAAAGTTCAGAGAGATTCAGCAGGAATCTCCAGGGAAAAGCCCCCAGCTTGCAAACTCAGAACAGGGTATTTTGGGGACAGTGGGTGGTGACAGAGCAGAGATGTTTGTTTTGGTTTCCAAATCAACGCTTGACAACCTTGTTGGCGTTATAGTTTCGGTGACCACATTTCCCTCGTGGTAAAGAGCTCAGAGCTGGTTGGACCAAAGGAAAATCAAAGCAGTAGTGACCAGGGCCTGGGACCAGGCACCCAGGCCAGGGGTTCTGATTTAGGCTGGTGTTTCCAAATCCTGGTTCCTATACCACCGATGGCACATGAGCTGATGTAAGGTGGTACATAGGTGACTTTTTCAATTTAAATTCCAACTACTTAGTTGAATGGATAAGCAAAATATGGTCTATCCATATAGGGGGCCAGCACACACCTGCTCAAAGGGCTACTGATACATGCTAGAATGTAGATGAAGTTCAAAAACATTAAGTAAAAGAAGCCAGATACAAAAGACTACCAATTGTATGATTCCATTTATATGAACTGTCCATAAAAGGCAAATCTATAGAAACAGAAAGTAGATGAGTGTTGCCAGAGCTGGGGTGGGACTAACTGCAAATGGGCATGAAGGATCTCTTGGGGGCAGTGCCAGTGTCCTAAAACTGGACTACGGTGATGGTTGCACAACTCTGTGGATTTACTAAAAATTATTGAACCTGTCTGTATACTTAAAGTAAGAGGATTTTTTGATATGCAAATTATACCTCAATAAAACTTAAATATTTTACCCAAATAATAATACAAGTGCTGGTACATGGATATCATGGAGGCAGAACTGGAAAATGCCTCCAGCTTGGAGAACACTGAGCTTTCTAGTCCAGGTTGCCCTTTGGGGAGGCAGGTGGGGGTCTCCAAGCCTATGAGTTCCTCTAGATGGACCAGAGGAAACCCCAGAACTTCTCCTTTCCAGGCATAGGCTCCTTCCATTGGTCACTGCTTGGGGCTCCGTGCTAGACATCCCAGAAGGATCTGAAGCCTTAGGTGGCCAACAGCCCAGGCAAACTTTGCAGTCTCATTCCTCAGACTGCGATTTCTTTTATGGACAAGGTATCAGAAGTGGGCTGGGAGCTCAAACTCAGATTTATATATTGTCAAGACTGGGAAGACCCTTTGAGATCATCTAGTCCTGTGGTTTTTAAATTTTTTAAAAAGGTGATCAGAAACCAGCCCTCCTCCCAAAAGAAAATTCTTATGAGAAAGCCAAATAGAGAAACAAGTAAAACATAGACTGTTACTTATGTACATTTACATTGTATGTTCAAATATATAACATACATATTCTAAATGCAATCAGTGAGGCTGATGAAGCTATTTGGTTCCATTATCACTTAGAACTAGGATTACGGATGACAATTTCACGTTCAGTTTAATTCTATCTCCAGTTTTGGCTGTACAGGATCAAGAAAATCCTGACTCATACAGATAAGTAGCTACAAATGGAGATAGTTTTTAGCAGTTTGCTTTGTAATTTCAGGATACCCTTCAGACAGATAGAGAAGGCAGGAGGGTGGCTTTAACTTGAGCCCAACTACTAACAAGTTAGCATGTCAGTGGACTTCAACAAGTTAACATTAAAAACTTAAAAGTGAGCACATTTTTATGACTATTAACATTTTAATATATTTTTAAATATTAAATTGATATGGCATTCAAGGAACCCCTAACGCATCTCTGAGGAAGCTGGAGGCTTCAAGAAACATGGTTCTAGCCCCCTCACCTCTTTACAGACAGGGAACTGAGGCCCCAAGAAGGGAGTATACTCGCTTTGGAAAAATCCAACTTGAGCCTTAAATCAACTTCAGAAAAGAAGTGACTCCCCGGTACACAAAAAAAAAAAATAAAGGAAAAGAAGGTGCCAAGGCACCCCAGAGGGCGGGAAGAGAGACACCCACACTCCACCTGTCTCAGCCCTGCTCATCTCATTCCAGGCCAGTGCCAGAAGCTGACATCACCCCTCACGCCCTGGGTGCAACTTGAACAGAGCATTGCTCAATGCCAACCTATTTCCCTCTAAAATTGGGCATGGTTTTTCCATCTCCTTAGTAGCCAGGTCCAAAAAGGTACACACACAATAAGACAAACACTACACAAGCCTGAGGCATGACAATACAATCAACAGTGGCAGACAGAAGGGCCCATCCCTCAGAGTTTCACCATCCAGAGCAAGTGCCTGTCTCCCTACCCCACCTCAGCCAAGCTGCTCACTAGGGACAGAGAGGCAGCCTCCCTAATGAAGAGGCCCCAGGTCATTCTCAAGTCCTCAAGAGAGACAGCCAGCCCAGGAGAGTAGCTCATCTCCCAGCGGGGATGTAAGACCTACCCCCAGAAAGCCTGGCCTGAGGCAGACCTGAGACTCTAGGCATCTGCTCCCTGCTTGTCTGACCCTATCATCTTTAATAACATCAGCTTGATTACTTTATATCTCACAAAAGGCACCACCATCCTTCTCTCCCCTCATGCAACTGTGAGTAGATTTTATTACCCCCATTTCTCTAATGAACAAATAGGCTTCCAAGTGATTCAACAATCTCACTGGCAGGTGATGGAGCTAGCATCTGAATCCTGCCCACTGACCAGCCTGCCCAGTGGAGGAAGATGAAGGAGACACCTTCCCAGCAACCTGGGCAGACCTCTGGGCCCATGCAAGTACTAGAACTCGAGGAGTAGAAGAAAAGATCCTTCTCAGGGCATCCTCCACAGATGTTCACAGCTCCCAATGCAGAGCTGCCCATTCCTGGGACAGCAGAGGGTCCCTGCCCCCACCCATATCTGAAATGCTACAGACAGACCCTCTCCTCTTTATCAGAAAGCTGAGCTATCAGTTCTGTCAGCCAGGCTGCAGATGGGAAGTAATGTCAATTTCCCAGCTGGGGAACCTGGGCAGGGCAGGAATGTGCTGGCCAGTCCTGCAGAGAGTCTGCCCCACACACTAGCCAGAGATGGTGGTCTGGGTCCATTCAGTGTCCAGTCTTTCAGCCCAAGGTTATCTCCTCCTGTGGGCCTTTAGGGCTGAGCTTGTTGGGGTCCAATAAACCATAACAATAGGGAGTATAGAGAAGAGAGGTGAAGAGAAGCGCTTTCAGAAGCCTGTGGTCAGTCTGATGTGGGTCTGGTTATCCACCTGGGCCAGCTGGACCTTACAAAGCTGACGGCTGACTCTGGCCCCAGTGGGTAGAGACAGATCTATCTATTTTCAAACACATGATCTCATTTAATTCAAGAAATAAAAAGCCAGTAGGTTAGTTAAGAGGGTTTTTTCACCCACGGAGGGAGAGAACCCACTTCCTACATCCTTGGGAAAATACTTATGCTGGGGAGACAAGACTAGCCAGAAGTAGTTGAATTCACCAGTTCACATCCTGGTTGCACCATTTATTGGCCAAGACAATTTAGGCAAGTCACTTGCACTTCTGCCTTAGTTTCCTCATCTACACAATGGGAATAAGTATGCCTTACACTCTGCCTTGTCGAGGATTAAATGAGATCACACTAAACACCAGTGGTTATTATGTCACCTAGAAAACAATGTGCCTGTACTAATGACGGCGCTGAGGTGTCCCCTACCATAGACGGACGGCGCCCACCACCACTCTTGGAACCAGATAACTGAGTTTTCCCAGCTTGTACAGGGTGCTATGCAACCACAGCTTCCAGCCCACCTGCTAAGACCAGCTGCCCCTCGCCCCCCGAAACCCCTCCAGAACAGGCACATTCCGCGGCCTCCTGACCTGGACGCCCCCTCCCCGGGAGCTGCGGGGTGAGGGGCGGGTCCCACTCACCTCCGCTTGTACTCGTCTCGTTCGCGCTTCACCTTGGCCAGCACGTTATAGAGCGCGCGTATCTCAGGCGTGATGGTGTCGATCTGCACGCCCACGCCGTCGGGGTGCACCCACGACACGCCGGGGCCCTGCACGGTCTCCACGCCACCGCCGCCCGTGCGCCGTACCTGCGTGTAGCTCCAGATGGTCCCGGGCAGGCGGCCGTAGTACTGCGGCTGCGAGCCGCCGCCGGGGGGCAGGCCGCCCAGGGCCACAGCGTTGGCGTTGGCTCCGGCGGCCGCGATGCCGTTAGCTTGCCCGCCGGCAGCTGCCGGCGGCCGCAGTAGCTCGGGCCCGGTCTGCACCGCCTGCTCGCGGGAAAAGGTCTTGTAGCGCAGCCGCCGCTCGCGCTCGCTCTGCTGCTGCTCCAGCTGCTTCTCCAGCAGCCGGTTGCGCCGCTCCAGTTCGTGCACCTTGGCCAGGAAGCAGCGGAAGCGCACATTGAGCCCCTTCAGGAGGTGGATGTTAGAGCCCAGGTCGTCCCGCAGCGCCGCCGTCACGGGCGACGGTCCCGGTCCGGCCCCGCCGCCGCCGCCGCCCCCGCCGGGGCAGCTCCCGCCGCCGCCGCCGCCCGGCGGGCAGCCGAAGGCCAAGGCCATCTCTCCGAACAGCAGCGAGTTCATCATGCGCCGGCTGCGCGGCTCAGGGCCCCGGGCCCGAGGCTCCAGGTGCGGCTCCAGCTCCGGGCAGGGCTCCCGGCGCGGCCGGGCCAGGGCGGGCGCGGGCTCCAGGGCGGCGGGCCGGGCGGTTCCAGATGCGCTCCAGATGCGGCCTCCGCAGCGACCGCGGGACGGACTGTCCCCGGATGTGGGCGCCGAGGCGAGAGACTGACTGGGGCCGCCGTGGAGGCCGCGGCGGCTGCGCGAGTAGCGAGGGTCACACGTCCGGGTCCGGGGGCTGTCAGAGTCGCTGTGGAGACGCCGCGGCAGCCGCAGACAGAGGACTCTCCGCCGGTACGGCCCCTCTGCAGAGGGCCCCGCCCATTGCAGACTCAGGCCGCGCCCCCACCCTCGCCCCGCCCACCCCTCGCTCTGCGGCTCTCCGTCGCCCGAGGCCCCGCCCCCGAGGCCCGCAGCGCCGGGCCACGCCCACAGCCCGTGGGCCCGCCCACTCCCGGGCACCGCCACTTTCTCGGCTCCGTAGACCCGCTGTCTTCAGCTCTGGCTCCGCCCAGCTCCCCGGCTGGACCACGCCCTCTCCTGCGCCGGGTCCTGCCACCCAGCGGTGCTCGGATTCTTTGCCTCTGGACAAGTACCGCAGAGCAGCACCAGGCCGGCGGTTAGCTGGATCCGCCGCAAAGCCAGCCCGGCCTCTTAAAGGGACCGACAGTCCGAGCAGCGCGCGACTCCCTCTGTAGGGTGCCTGCGGGCCGGGCGGTTCCAGATGCGCTCCAGATGCGGCCTCCGCAGCGACCGCGGGACGGACTGTCCCCGGATGTGGGCGCCGAGGCGAGAGACTGACTGGGGCCGCCGTGGAGGCCGCGGCGGCTGCGCGAGTAGCGAGGGTCACACGTCCGGGTCCGGGGGCTGTCAGAGTCGCTGTGGAGACGCCGCGGCAGCCGCAGACAGAGGACTCTCCGCCGGTACGGCCCCTCTGCAGAGGGCCCCGCCCATTGCAGACTCAGGCCGCGCCCCCACCCTCGCCCCGCCCCCCCCCCGCTCTGCGGCTCTCCGTCGCCCGAGGCCCCGCCCCCGAGGCCCGCAGCGCCGGGCCACGCCCACAGCCCGTGGGCCCGCCCACTCCCGGGCACCGCCACTTTCTCGGCTCCGTAGACCCGCTGTCTTCAGCTCTGGCTCCGCCCAGCTCCCCGGCTGGACCACGCCCTCTCCTGCGCCGGGTCCTGCCACCCAGCGGTGCTCGGATTCTTTGCCTCTGGACAAGTACCGCAGAGCAGCACCAGGCCGGCGGTTAGCTGGATCCGCCGCAAAGCCAGCCCGGCCTCTTAAAGGGACCGACAGTCCGAGCAGCGCGCGACTCCCTCTGTAGGGTGCCCTTTCCTCTTGTCTTCTGCCAAGGAGGCTCCGCTTCTCTTCCTCCTCGCTCCAGTTGCCCCGGCCCCAAATGCTCACGGGGTGTGGGACCTCTCGGCCTGGGAGGCTGGGGGACCGTATCACCCGAAGGTGCATCCGCACCCCACCCCTCTCTTCATCCTGGGGCGGCCTAGATTGGCCTTCCCAGGATAAGGCAGCGCTTCCGCTGGCACGTCCCCCACGCGGTGGACCCGGGATGGCTTCTCAACCGCTTGCTCCCGCCTACAGCCGCTGGCTCTTCGTCCCGAGGTCGGCCGGGGCACTGCCGAGCCTGCAGGTCCCCGGACCCACGCAGGCGCTGCGCCGAGTGGGGGTGGCGGAGACTGAGCTAAGACCCTCCCGGAATATGACACCCGCGAGCTCTCAGCCTGGGCTGCTGCCGCTCCCGGCCCAGAACGACCACCTCCCCACCACCTCGCACACAGAAGCTGAGATACAGCTGATCCCAAAGCTGCGACTCCATTTCATCCAACCGCTTAGGGGGCAGCATGTGGGCTGAACAGGTCTGGAGGGTGGAGCCAGCCGAGGATCCATTCATTGATTCACTCACTCATTCAATCAGATCTGTTTTCAGATGTACCACTCTAAAGACCAAGTTCTCCAGTCTCCGGGTGTCTCTTGAATCAATTTGCAAACACCTATCGTTATTTTTTAAACAGTAATAATAGTTCCCATTACTGAGTAGTTCGTATATGTCAGGTGCTGTACTTAGTTATTATCCCCATTTTACAGAGAAGGTCACTGAGACCTGAGGAGTAGCAAGCCATCCCAAAGCACATGCTCCAAACAGCCGTTGGACATGGCTGGCCTCTTGTCCCTTTCTCCGTTTGATCCTCACCACAGACCTCAGAGGAGAGGGGAGGTGATCCCCACCTTTGAATGCCTGTGGCTTGCACTGTGTACACTTAACTAGGTGTGTGGCACATTCCAGATTCTTCCAGCTGCATTTTTTAAATTAAAAATTAATTATTTGTCTTGTTATTAACTTTTGTGTTTGTTTTGTCTCACAAGGACAATGGCTTGGTATTCTCAGTGACAAAAGAGACACAAGGGAGAATGGGCTTGTTCTGGGATGAGGTCATGGCTGTGATGTTAGTCTGCTGTTTTTGATTCAGTCTCAAGAGCAAACCCTTCCCATGTTTCTTTCCTCAACCGTAGCTCCTTGCTCCCTGCCAAAATAGGCCCACCTTTACTACACTCAGCACTGAAACTCACCTGTCTTGAAACTTTCTCTGCTTAGCCCAACCCAGTGTGGTCACTGCTCTTCTCTGCTCTCTCATCTCTTGGTGAGTTTCTTGTTTATCTGACCTAAAGAATCAAAACCCTTTTGCCTTAAAGCAGTTCATGGACCCCTAAGGGAGCTGATAGAATTCTGAGGGATCTGTGACTTTGGGATGGGCAAAAGTTATGTCTTTATTTTCACAGATCTCCAAATGGAATTTAGCATTTCCTTTGCTCATGAATGCAGACAAACAAGTAAGTCCCTGTGACTTTATCACTAACAGAAATCACAAATATTTTCATATCACATTATGGTTACCATAGATAGCTAAAAATATCATTTAAGCTACCACAACTCTGAAATTAACATATTATACTCACCACTGAATCTTATTTAATGTATTAAAAAGGAAGCACATATGTCACTACATCACAAAATTTTTAAATATTTTGGTAATTGTATTTTGTTAAATTGCTTTTATTGTAATCCTAATGCAATTTGTAAGACTTCATCTGAGAAGAGGCCCACCAGGCCTTACCAGATGCCCAAGGTGCCTGTGGGACAGAAAAGGTTAAGACAACACCTGTGGGGAGCGGCTCCCTACAGCCTATTCCAGGAAGGCACTGTCCTACCTCCAGCATGGCTGCAGAGTTGGGGTATGAAGCCCTCCTGTGGGGAGGAGGAGAGGAGTGCCCAGCCCTGTCCTGGGCACTGGAGAGATTGAGACATTCTGTGATCATTTACTGAGCATTTACTGCTTCAGCACAGCCCTTGTGCAAATACCGGGGAAACACCCGAGAACAACACAAGAGTTTAAGGAGCTTGCTGATGAAGACAGACAACCAAAAAGACCATTCTGAGACATGAGGGGGGTGCAGAGAAGGGAAACCTGACCTGGAGGAGGTGGCTCAGCAGAGACTAGAAGATCTGAAGGAAATGGAGGAACCACTACCCACACTTGAAAGGATTCCACCCAGATCTTAGAAGCATGATATGTACAAACAAAATAGCTAGAAATAGTTCTGTGGCTACATAGGAGCAAAAGTGAGATGCTGTGTGTCTTGCTCTTTGTGGGTGAGATAAAAGAGGAGGCTAACATAATGTCCTTCTAGTAGGTAAGCAACTATCTCCTTTTGCCCAGGACTATCAAGAGGTTTCCTTTGATGAGGTGTTTTTAGGACTAAAACCCAGAAAGTTCCATTCAAACCAGGATGAGTTGGTAACCCTACTTCCAGCCCATGTAGCTCTGGAGACTTCTGAGACTCAAATCCTGTCATCAATGTCAGCCAGACAGAGCTCAGAATATAGCAAGCCCCATGCTCCCAGTTTAGAGACAAGAGAATTGAGGCCCAGAAAATGGTAGGGACAGGCCCTGGGGTAGCAAAGCCTGGTCTAGAATTCTGGTCTCACTCCAGTCCTACCCTAAGCTGGAAGGCAAAGTCAGTGGTCCCTTCCTCTCAGCCCTGCACACCTTGACCTCCTTATCTGTCACCCAAAGGGACTGCAGGTAGGTCCTTACCAGGTGGGGGGTTGTTCTACCAGACAAGGAATATCCCCAAGAAGGGATAAAAAGGACGAATTTTCTCAGCGGAGCACTTCCCTGTGGCCCTCAAAATCACAGTGGTGTATCTGATTTTGGCCTCTCCTTAGAGGCAGGAAGGGACAGATGGACTTTTGAGCCAAAGTTGGCTTAGGTTTGTATCTGCCCTGGCTGCATAACCTGGTAAGTCACATCACCTCTCTGAGGTTCTATTTCCTCATCAGTGAGATGGGCAAGGCTTTACCCATGAGGTCCTTCTTATACCCTCTGCCTCCTTGTCCTGGCCACTCTGCCTGCCCCATCAATGTGCTTGAGCACAGGGAGGCTTGCGAGAAACAGTTGCTGAGTGACTGAATAAAAGAATTAATGAATGAATGGACAAACACCTTTCATTCTGCCCACCCCTCTCCCCCACCATTTCACCTGACAACTACCCTTCATCCTTCAGGTCCCAGCCTCATGTGTAAAACCTCTGCCCTCCCAGCACCCTCCAGGTCTGGGTTGGGGTGCTCCCTCTAGGCTGTGTCAGCACCATGCCACCCCAGGTACACTCTCTTGTCATTGATGGCTTTTTCAGCCATATCTTCACCTCACCCCAACCCCAACTTTCCAATATTTGCTAGGCCATGGTCTCCGTCAAGGCAGGCACTTTGAACCAGAGCCAAGTCAAGTTCACAGGCACATAATAGGTGCTCAACAAAGACAAGTTCAAGTAAACATAAAGGAGCTGTCAGTACCAGAGAAAAGTCCTGTAAAGTGCACTATGCTCAGTAAATGTTAGATTTTTACATTTAACTATACTTTTTTTGTTTTACAGTGTTATTGAGGCAGATTTTATATATCACACAATTCACCTATATCAATGGTTTATAGTAAATTTACCAAGTTGTGTAGCCATTATAGATCAGTTTCAGAATATTTCATCTCTCACAATAAGATCCCTCTTGCTCATTTACTGTTACTCCCTGGTTCCAGCCTCTGCCCCAGGAAACCACTAATCTACTTTCTGTCTCTATAGATGTGCCTTTTCTGGACATTTCTTATAAATGTACTGGAATCGTACAGTACATGATCTCCCATGTCTGGCTTCTTTCACTGAGCATTATGCTGGTGAGAGTCATCTGTGGGG